ATTGTTATGACTGGTAAAAACAGAGCTCTTGTTCCTCAGAGTACAGTTTAAAATGACTTTAAGGCATGAAAGCATTTGATAATAGAGCATTTGAAGGGATGGGATTGATCAGAGCCTACCTGTGTTACCTGCACTCGGAGGCCGATGTGTCACTCCAGGAGACATGCTATTTCTTTGCAAAGAAGGATGAGCTAGTGGCAAAAGGTTGGGGTTTCCCAGTGAGCTGACTGGGTTACTATATACCAAACTGTTGTGGTTGGACACTGGGATAGAAACTGGCATCTCAAAATTTGGTGGTGGAACAGCCTGTACAAACAAAAAAAAGAAAAACAAACACAAGAATAGTACCGAAGCACAACAGCCTTCAAGTATAATTACTCTATATTTAGTTCAAATATTTTGTAGTTGGTGGTTAAAATATTTGCACTAATCCCTTTCCCCCAAGACTCAAGAGAAGAGTTTCAAAAGAGGTCTTTAATAATTTTAAATATGATTTTTCAAATCATGAATCCATTTTCCTTTAACGCAGCTTGTACATTTAGTTTGTAAGAACTGGAAAGATTTGTTTCTTTTATTCTTTTTTTTTCTTCTTTGAAACAAACCTCTGCTTTACGAAGCTTATTTTTCTTTTTCCTTCTTTCCATGAAGTCCTAATTGTTCACTTGTGATACCTTAATCTAGTGCCACTGCAAAATCAATGGTACATGATTATGATGATTTCATTACATGGAGAAAAATTAGAAGGGATGGAATGCAAAAGGGAAGGCTTTAATTTCGGCTTATGTTGCTTTAGCAACCAGAATGATTCCAAAATCATGTTAAAGGCACCAACACTATACTCAAAGTATAGTGTTTTTCAAAGTTTCTATCTAATCTAAATTGGAGGGACTCACAGGAAACAAAGTTTTACTCAGGAATCACTAGCAAATACAAGAACTTGTAGCTGAGTTGCACCAGTCTTTGCACTCTTTGTGGTCTTTGGTGTTTTTTTTTTGAGTGGGGAGGTGGCATTTATTGATGCCTTTTCAATATACTGTTTTCATACTTTAAGACAGGAGCATCTTCTGTGCCACTTCCCTTTGCAAGAATCCCTTTAAAACATAACCAACTAACTCTTAAGCGGGTGTGAGGGGATGCAGTATCTAATTCTCATTATGCTCTTAGAAATCCCAATTCAGGTTTCCTTGACTGGTTGGTTGAGTTTGTTGGTTGGGGTTTTCTTGGGTAGCAGTTGCTTGGATTTCTCTAAAAGTTATTACTCTGATGGCATTTGAATACATTAGAAATCTATATTTAATCTACTGGGTTTTAAAATAACTGATTTCTTGCCTTTTTGATCAGAAAAACATTTTCAGAATTACTTGATAGCATTTTAAATATTCAAATACCTGAATGCAAACTAAGTACTCCTCAATTTGCCATTTAAAAATCGTTTCAGCTTCAAGAGCTCAAACACATAAAAAATTCTTTGAAGTAGCCTTGCAACATACTCTGAGGGAAGAAATCACAGGGTTTAATTTTGTTGTTGGCAGCTGATAGTACTGGTAAGTCTTCAAGGATGTAGGGGGAGTATGCGGAGAGCTGAACACATCTGCTGTGTCAGGCAACAGAGGCATTCTGACCTTGTGCCACCCACATGTCTCTTCTCTGGCTGGAGCTAGCCATCAAATTACAGTTATCTCTTAAGGTTTTTGGCTTTTTTTTTTTTTTCTTTTTTGTCCTATCTGCTCTCTACAAGCAGACAAAAGTTTGCTATAAATATAGAGGAATCATTTTGCTTAACTACTGAAACACACAGCAAGACTTTAATTCAGGGTATGATGTGAAGGATACATTACACAAATGCCTTGGGAATTACTTCAAGGTGTTAATTGGGTTCTAATACACTCTGTGTAGCCTGTGGCCTGGTTTTCTGAGAGATGGCCATAGCCACAGCAGTGGAGTGGATGGACATGCTGGCATTGCTCCCCGGCTGGGAGTTGCTTGCTTTCCTTTGCTGAGAAGCTGAAGTGCACTTCAAAGGCTGCATTTTCTATAGAGTTGATTGGCTTAAGTAGAGATGGGAAAGGAACGTGAGGTATTTTGGGAAACTACATGTTCTACACCTAATCTACAGATGTAAGAATCTACACATTATCTACATCCTCATGTCTGAGGTCTAGTCTCCTTGGAAATAGGTTCATATAGCATAATCTTACACATTTTATCAGCCTGAAGGTATGTTTTGGTGCAAGATATTCTTGTTACTGGCCACAGAAAGACACAAGAGGTTCCTAAAGCCATGCAAGTGAGAGTCACATGATTACTACTGGAGCTCAAAGTCAACTGCTGCTGGTGGTTCCTGCCTTTTCAAAAGGCGTTAGCCAGTGAAATCACATGAGGATGTGCATAGCAAATCATGTCTTAGCTCCACCTCCAGCCAGATGTGAGATATGAATGCAACATGAAGTCTCTGGTTATTGAAACGTGCTGGAAACCTCTCTGCCTGGTGGCTTTGAGGCCATGATCCTGCCTGTTTGAGTGCCAGTTCATGTCAGATTGACAGTCAACCACTGGACAGCATTTTGCACAATATCTTCTTGACCTCTGGCATGAGATCTGTGAAGTCTGCCCTCTGAGCCTGGGTAGACACCATTATTGCCTCAATTTTCTTAACATCTTTTCCTAATCCAAATTTCTCTTATCTAAACTTCAACACTTGTACAAATGCAAAACTGAATGTCTTGCCAGACCTAAAAAGGCTTATCTGCTTTCACCATTATGCTCTTTTCTTCAATGTACAAACCAAACCCTTCAAGGGTCAGATTCTTCTTTTTCTACATCAGTACCTCACAAAGAGCTCCAGTCTTGGCTGCTTTTGAGGCTGCCAGTCTCACTAGTCATCACTGAAACAGTTACTTAGCTTTCATTTTGTCATTTTAAAAACACATTTTTAAACTAGTTATTTTCTTAATTTCTGTAGTAATGGTTTCATTTTCACCATTTAACCTACTGTCTGGATCTACTTTCATCTATGTACAGAATACTTCATAGGCAATTTTATCAGGGCAAAGTCACTTTACTCTCTGCTTTGCAGCACAATACACCCTATATCTGGAATATAGTAGGGTTTTTTTTTCCTCCTCCATAGTCAAAAGTTAGAGAGAGAAATTTGACTGGATTAACACCAGTATTAAATAGTAATTCTCAGCTACAATTTGTTCTGTTTGTATAAATGTTATTACAGTCTTATATATCCTTCATCAAGAACTGCAACCTTTTGCAGATTCCCTAGTCATTCCTAGTGGTAAATCACAGGGCATACCTATTCCAGCTACGCCTGACGGACATTAAAGCTTCTGATGCACTTCTGTAATATCTGTATTAGTAGGAACTAGTGAGGAATTGAGGCCATTGGACACCACAGAGCAGTCCATGTCCCTATCATTAAGCTTTCCTAACCTCAAAAACATCATGACTACATATAAACTGACAATTGAGAATTGTTCCTGGCCTGGCTAATAAAGAAACAGAGCTAAGAAATTGTCTGAGAGAGTATTATTTGGCCAGTGCCAAAAGAATGCCAGGGAGTGTTCAAAGAATTCAGCTCAGAGATAGCCACCTCCTGGAGACTCAGTATGTTCTTTGCCATTTGCTAATTTTCTGACATAGACACAGATTTACTGTAACATGTATGCAGTTTCCCACATTTTGACATTCTTCCTCTCTCTTTTCTTCTTTGGACACAGATATCAAAGAGCACCAGCGTACAGCGCACACTGTGTTAGATGTGGACTTCACAGGCTGTGGTATGTGATGTAAAGCACTGGACCCTCAAACCCCTTGGAAATTAATGGACCAAACATTCTGTGTTAAATATTGTTTTTATCCCTCCCATGTTCAACCAGGTCTTCATTTATTTAGAGACAGAGATACTTATAGCTCCCTTCTAGTGGACTATTTCTGTCTCCTCTGCTTTCATCACTCTTATGAAAACTATGAATAAATGTCTAATTATTATCAGATGGTTTAGAACAATACAAATACTTATCCCCAGAAAATTATCTGAGGAAACATTGTTGGCCTTAGCTGTTAGGAGCAAAAGCCAATGTTGTTTTCATTTGGCAGCAGTTGTATTATGTTACAAGACCAGGCAGAGGCGATGAATTGTTTTGCATATTTTCTAAATAGTAATTTAGGGACTTAACTTGGTGACTTTTTGTTTAATTTTGCTTTCTTCCCTCTAACTTTCTTGTCTACATTCGATGATCACAAGCAAATGAATATAACTTCCCTGACT